AGAAAAAGTTTGATAAGTATATGAAAGATAAGGGCTGGCTTTAAGATTTTAAAAATTATTTTAATTTAGTTTAGAGGATGGAACAGTCGAGATGGACCAATAGGTCCCATGTTGATCTAAAACATTATGTTATGTTAATTGATTAGTAAATATCATTAATCATTCCACTATACAATATAATCACAGTTAGTACACACCAAACACTTATAGACCTAAAGAAAAACAAAAACACCATTAACAATATCCTTTGTGAATGTGGACTCTGGTATGTTGGAGAGACAAAAAAGAAGAACAAATGTTAAAATTTAAAGAGTATAATAGACGTACAAGACTAATACTAGGAGAAAAGGATCACACATAAAATGGAATAATAATACTGATGGTAATGTGAACTACATCCAAGAAAAAGATAAATGAAGCTAACAAATAACACATTCATCTAACCTAATGTAGAAGTCAGCAGAACCTAGATACCCTTCTTGAAAGCATTCAAGTAGCTGATTCAAGTCCTGAAGAGGCAAATTCAGACGAGTAAACAGTACCTCAGTCTTTCTATAAAGAAAACCATTACCATAATAAACACAGTCTTTCTCAGGATTTTCCTGAAGATGGCAGCAGATTAGCAGCCAAAACATAGGATGTACAATAATTAGACATAGGTGATCATGTAAGCTACTAATCCTAACAGAGATTCTTCATTCATATTTATAATGTAATCTGTTTCATAATGTATGACAGTATTTTTTCCTCACTTGAACTATAGGTGATTGTTGAAATGTTTGGATACTTAAGTTATTCAGTATTAGTATGATAGCTTTGTTTTAACTCACTGAGTACTTATTAAAACTTTTGCCAGTTTTATTGTAGAAACTATTTTATAAACAGTTTTTTCATAAATATTACTGTTTGCTATCTTGTACAGGTGCGAGTTAATGCTTTGATCAAGGTTGGAACCTTAAAAGTTCATGCTGAACAAATGGAGGAGGCTTTAAAAGACTTTGATCGAGCTATTGAACTTGACCCTAATAATGCTGATATTTATTTGCATCGAGGGCAGGTATGTGGTTCTTTCATATCTTTGTTTTTATCCTCTCCTATATACTTAGAAATAAACTTTACTGGGTGTGAGACATTATTTGGTACTATTTTTCATACTTATTCTAAATTTTCATGATAAAATAATTTAAAACATTTTTTTCTCCAACTAAGACCTTTTATTTTGAAAATACAAAAGAAGTTTTGAACTAGAATTTATAAATATTTCCTCTTTTTCTCTAATGTATACAAGTTGAAACATTACATTTTATTTTTAATTGTATTCCAGTATTTATTCCATTCTCACTCATTGAACTACTGTTACAAAGGTTAAGTGTATTATATTAAATCTTTCAACATGGGGTCGGTCAATTTGACTGAGTCATGTGACCTTCTGTACTCGTTTAAAGTTGACATCAATTTAATACCTATAACTCTCTATATATTGGATATATCTTCAGGAAATTTGGCAGTCTTTCACATACAAAAAGTCATATTTCTCAGTGAAGTACTTTTAATAAAATAAAATAAAGTTTTGTCCATTAATATATTGAGTATTTGTTTTGAATAGTTCATGTGCAAAGTACTTTTCATGTTAAAATTAAAAATACTTTTCGTCGTCTCAAAAATCTCAGATTTCCTTTGTGTAATCCCTAAAACCTCCTAAATGCATTTCAAACGTTTTTTTTTTTCACTAAATCCTTATAGTTTATATATTATTTTCTCTACTCTAATCTCAAAACTGGATCGGTCAAATCGACCGACCTCGTAACTGCCAAAATAAAATCGAAATAGACCTAAATTAACCTTCTTTTCTTTCTAGTATGACTTCAGATTGTAACCTGAAACTACATTTGTTTATCCTAAGTAGCTCTAAGTTCGTAACATTATACATCTATTTATAATTAAATTTTATTGTTTTATTGCCATATGAACCGTGTCTAACTGCTATCCGTGCCATTATAAGTTGTAAATTACTCAGGGAAAGTGCAGCTCATGTTACGCTATCAAATTACATTACCCATGAGCTGCTCACATGCTTGCTTTGTGAACAATTTTAATTATATTATTATTATTACTTATTTTACCTATTCTAGTCTTAAATAACTTTAAAAGATCCGTACCTTTAATTTTAGTTACTTTTATAATAATAAATAAAGAATAAATATGAAAAACAAGAAATAAAGTACTTACCCAATCTTCATTTTTTCTTGCCCTTGATTGTCGAGAAGAGTTAAGCCTGATTTTTTTTAGCGATTATGGTAAAGCACTTAACAATTTTTATTTACTTACATAATATACCAAAGAAAATAGACTAGTAACATGCAAAAAGTAGACAAATTCACTTCTAAAAATTTTCCTGGCTTCCTAACTATGAGACAAGAGCCGTTAAAAATTTATCCAAGCTAGTCGTTAACTTTCTCACGGGAACGAAATTGCTACTCAGAGTGACATTGATGGTTATCTGTTCAGAACACAATGTTATTCACAACACTATTTGATAAATGAAAACCTTGACTTTCTATTGGTTATAAATAATATATAATGAAACATAAGAGAGAACTATCAACCAATTGTGGCAGGAGGGGTCTGATTTTCTCTTTGATAGATCTGTAACAAAACAAAATTAAAGGCCATAAAAATTATGATCTGTTTGAGCAATAACGATTTTATGGAGAGCATTTTACTTTTAATTTCTTACATTTTTGAGGAGTGACGGATAAAATAGGGATGATGACATGGTAAGACAAAATTTGTCATGTGTGTTACAC